GGGGTTGGGGGGAGGGGCATAATAAGTCAGGAGAAACCGTAGCAGTAGGTACCTGTAGAGGGTGAGACTATGACCGCGTCATAACGTTACGTGATCACACGTCATAAGTAGGTACGTTTTTTCAGTGTTTAAGGCCATTGGCCCACATCACATCATGAAAAACACACAATTGTTCAATAGAATTTCCTTAACGAAAAAGTACAGGTTGTCCACATATCCCTTATCATGAGTCAAACATTGCATAGTTCTGTCACTGGGCCGAGTCAGGCTGGGAGGGATTTACAATTTCCTTTGATGGACAAAATATGGACAATAGAAAATAAAGTGAAATTCATCTTCAATTTCATGAGAGCTACACCTCTTACGTAAGGGTGTATTTATTAATTACAGCCGATAGAGATTGTTGATTAATGGAAGGCCATGGGTTTTTCACAAGGCTATGATTCTTCAATTCCAATACTGTGGAAGGTCGGTAATATACTCAGCTGTTTCTTGAAACTGAATGGACTTATCATAATCTAAAAATCCTAGACTCTGACATACTTCGGGTGAACCATGAAGGGCACCTTTTGGCGCAATTAGAGCCGATGAAAGGGCAAAGTGGAAGGTGCAATATATACACCCACTCCACGTATAGTGTTAGTAAGCGTATTACGGCTTTTGCAGCACAATTAGGTCATTTGAAGTGTCGAAACGTAGAGGTGTCACAAGTGAGTAATAAACACACAGCTGAAGAAGTTAAAGATGAGAGATGTTTGATTGGAAAGAAGGAGCAAACCACATCAGAGCACCTAACAACCACGCACAATACGGTCATATAAGTGCCAAAAGTGAGAGGTGTTACAATAGAGCAACAATTTGTTTGTTACTAAAAACACACCAAAAATGGAAGAACGATAAGGGCGACAGATGTTTGATAGGAAAGAAGGAGCAAACCGAGTGTAACATAGCACCCGCCAACCACCCACCCACACCACACTCAACTATAACAAGACTGGTGTTTTTTGCGCTTTATTCGAGCGTTATAGAGCCACACATTGAGTGCACACTTTGCAGCGATGTTTTTATAGTGAGCAAAGAGCGGTAGCAATGATAATGCGCGTTCTAGGAACATTATTGTAATGCATTTCTATGATTCAGACTCTTGGGAAAAAACCCCAGAGCATGCAACATTCGTGTCACGGCATTTGGGTGGGTGGGCTAACCTTTTTGGTGGGTGGGCTAACCTTTTTGGTGGGTGGTCATAGTGGCATATCCTTGAGCAAGACACGATGACCCAAGCTAAAAAGACAACCAAAAATATGAAGAAAAAGAGAAAGAGAGGAAGAGAGGGAGAGAGAGAGAGAGAGAGAGA